GTAAATTAAGGGAGATCACCCTAATACTTCTGAATATTTCTGTAGGAATTTTAAACCCATTAAGGTCTCAAGAGGGGTTATTATACCCTACACCACATGTCGTCAGGGTATTATGTCTTTGTGCATTTGTTTGCAGCATAGAGAAAAAGCAAGATAGACCCATAGTTCCTTTTGACGATCTGATATGCATGTCCGTCCTCCGTCTGTCCATGTATTAGCACAAAGCATTTTTTTGATCCAGGACAAACCCCTATTGACATTGGAGACAATCGGTCAAAATTTAGATATAGCTCCTATATATTCTTCGTCCGATTTGGCTAAATCTGTAATATTATTTGAAATAGGATGGAATTTAGCACACCAGAGCCGAAAATACAATGACTTTTTTAACCATGTGCATGGTTAATTTTTTCATGGTAAATGTTTGAGATTACAAACACAAATAACGTTATATAAGTCAAATGTAGATGAAAAATAGTTTAATTAACGTTGTATAAGGTTGTTGTTTTTTGAGAGAGACGGAAAAATGTGAGAGATACATAAAATTTAAAGTGCCTTCGGCTCTGTTGTGGTCAACAATTTTGAACTGCTTTGTGTTTGACGAAGTTCAATATTACAATATACGAAGTTGCAACGAATGTGACTGTCATATTCCCCCTCCTCCTCTTTATCGAATCTCTTTCTGTGGTCTGAATATGTGTAAGAAAGATCAAATAGACAATCACCTTCTTTAGTTGGTGTTGAATAGTGCAAGGGAGTAGTGCACGTGCTCGTGGGAATAGTGCTTGGTATAAGGTAAGTAAAAGCTGGTGAAATTAACAAATATATTTGATTGTAATTTGTATTTGTTTTAATAGAAAAACCCTGATACTATTTCAACATAGTAATGTGTTATTGCTATATTCAAATTGTATCAGATTTGTCTATCAAATAAACTATAAATTACAATAAAGAAACAAAAATAACGGTAATACATGAAAAAACAAGCAACAACACGTATATGCGCGACAAGCAAAAATGAGGAGAGAAATAATGTGTGAGTGTTTATTCATACATATGTGTTCTTTTTGTCTTTGCTTGTGGCTGCTACGACGTACATTAGCGTATGCATTTGTCACCAAATGTACGTTGTTGTTGTTGTTGAAGCGACAGTGTTCATATTTATGTATATCTTTTTGTTTTTTCTTCTCAGTTGTTTTTTTCTCTGGTGTCTTTTTTTGGGTGTTCGTGCGTACATTTTTGGTAAGTTGTGACAATACTATTTGCTTTTATTAACTACTAGTTTCTTCTTCTGTTTTTGCAGTCGGTGTTTGGCGTTTTGTAGTTTTTTTCACAATGGCTGAGGAATATAATTTAAAATCACTCGGTAAGGGCGTTAAAAAATAAAATTTATATTAACATATATCTTTCTTTACCAGCCCTCCCTTAAATATACATACAATTTGTAATGGAAATACATATTTTAGAAATATGCGGTATTAATAAATAAATAATAATAAACTTGTAAAAATTACATTTTTCTTGTTTTATTCAAACAAAGGTTAATTTATTATTAAAATTATCATATGAACTGTTTAGACAAACTGACTATGAATGTTATTATAACAATTATCATGGTTACAAAAATTTAACAGTGCATTGTTAAAACAACAATTTTTTTTCAATATCAACAATTTTCGTGGTTAAAAAGTCAATCATGGAATAGCTAAATTACGATGATTATTTTTAAATACCAGTCAACAAGAAAATGTTTAAATTAACCTTACATAACGTAGACTCCAAATCATGTTTATTTATGGTTAAGCTAACCTTGTATAAGGTTAATTTTTTTTTCTGTGCATTTGTCTAGAAATAAGTATGTTAAATTTTGTGGAAATGGGTTCAGATATAGCCATATCTCTCATATATATTCTTCATCCGATTTGTTAAATTCCTACTCCACAACAATAACAACGATGTTCGGAGAAATATCAAATACAGCTCAGAAATACCTTTGCCAAATTTTATCGAGATCGGTTCGGATTTGAATATAGCTCCCATATATATCTTCATCCGATTTCACGTTTATTGTGCCTAAAAAGTGTAATATCAGCTGAAATTAGATGGATTTTGATGAATACCGGTTCAGACACAAATGACTTCGTCAAATTTAGTAGAAGCCCGCAAATTATTTTGTTCCTTTTGGCTTTAAATTATAACTGATTTAACAGTTATAGTTGGTAGGTTTTAATTCTCAAAAGATCCCCATAAAAGTTTATTTCTTATATGTGGCTCAACTATTTATGTAAATGGTGTAGGTTATTATTAAGTCGGCCCAGTTCGACTTTGGCCTTTCTTTAGTGTGTTTTGAATATATTATATTTGGTAAAATCTATTTCAAGACATTTTGTCATATGAAGCAGCCCCTTTTTACGGACCAGTGAGACAAATCATTTTCGAATTGATAAACTATTTACTTTAATTCCCCTTGTACGTTCTTGCCGTAGGGTGAACATTATTTTCTAATGTGCCTTAATCTGAGTCAATATTTATTTATGTTCTGCTTCTAATACCAAAATTCTGATCTATTGAAATTCTTGATCGTAATATCAGCCTTATGGCTACAGAAGGCATATATAATTTTATATTCGGACACTCTATTGAAGGGAGTATGGATTTGGTCCAAACCTTATTCGTTTCGGATTCGGTTTTGTCGACAGATATATATCATCCTCAGTTTATGTGTGATAATAATATATATTTTGTCTTCATTATACAAAATGTTTACCCTTTATTCGGATGGTGCCGAAGGCTAGGTCTGATATATTTATTGCGAGCTGAAAAGTTTAGACTACATCAACTACTTCTAAGAGTGTAAGAATATATTAAAACTTATAATACTAATACCGATAAAAATATTGAGATTTGCAATAATTACTTATTCCCAGTTTTGTGGGATTAATTGGTAATCAACATTTTTTATATTTTGTGAGGGAGGTGCCAGAAGGAGTGAACCGACATATTCCATATTAACATTACATCTATGGCTTAGATAAATATTATTTTTTACCCTTTGTGGGTGAGATACCTGAAATAATGGGCCGATGATTTCCATATTCACACTTGAACTAATGTCGATACATCAAATACTTATTTTAATTTTATAACACTTGTCTCTTTTTAAAATGTTGATACATTGTGGGGGTAACAAACGGAGTGGGTCGACATTCATTTCAAATCTCGAGTGAATTGTTTCGGATATTATTGGGATTATAAGTAACCAAACTATGACCCTTTGTGATGGAGGTACCAGTAGGAGTGGTTCGATATATCGATGAGACACGTTTGGGTCGTATCAAATGATATGTATCCTTTGAGGGTATAATAGAAATCTCCTAAAAAAACGGAATATGGAATTTTTGTTCAACTTCAAACATTGTAATATTATATTAGATCTTAGTTATGTTCAAAATATCGACAGTATCGGCCAACTTGCTCTGCTAACTCCTTCATAAAGGGTCAAAACACACGAAAAACGAAAATGGGATTATTCGATAAATACTTTCCAACTTTGTACATTACAATATTTTCATCAGCACTAAACCTAGGGGAATGATGCAGTAGGAGCCTTCGGTATAGAAATAATTTTCAGAATGCCTTAAATATATGCAGTGGCTACATACTTTTCGGCAAAACTGAGGTCCCATAAATAGTACATATATTTGTAATCAGCATAAAAAACAGTTTAGTGTTTTGAAATCGAAACAGAGATCGAAGATTTGACAAACAACTTTTTATTCTATCTGAGAAGACTGATCGAAAATAAGCTATTTCGTTTGCAACTTGATATTTGGGGATCTTATCCTTATATCTCAATGTACAAAAAATATCAATAAATAGTGCATGGTGGTGAGGTTATTGTCAGAATAGAAGTATATTGCCTTTGGAGATGATCGCAAAATATTTAGGTGTTGAAATGGATCAAAATAGACATTTTTCGTGATCTTGCTGTTGCTCTATATGACACAATTACAGACCACGCGGAAGCATGAAGTTAGAGTTTAGGGCTGGGCAGAAGCCTAACAATTTGCACGGTTATCGGACAATATTTAATACCAAGTAAATATTGTCCGATATAATAAGCCATAACTTTTATGTAAAAAAATTTGAATTTTTATTTTGACAATTCTCACCAATTTCGAATAGCCTTTTGCCAGAAAAGGATAAAATCTAAGAAAATCGAGTTAAATATTTCAACAAAAAAGTGAATATTTATATTCTCAGCAATACGGCTAGAGAGGGTATATAACATTTGATACGGTCAAAACGTGCCTAGTCGAAATAACGGTCCTAGGTCTCTTTGGACCAAATCCGTTTCAGGATATTTGGAGGCGATCTAGCGAAGTCTGTCTGTTCGCCCGTCTGTCTGGCTGGTGCGCAAGTTATATAGATTAAAACACATGTAATTTATTTGATTTATTTAAATATTTTTTATTACACATTACAAATGTAAGGCCGTTAAACTCTAAACTCCAACTGAACTTAAATTAATAGTGTTATGAATATTTAAACTAAATAGATAAAGAGAAATAAAGAATAAAAAGAGATTGGAATATTCATTGAGAGAAAGATATTATAATAAAGAGAATGGTAGTGGTAAATGGGAGACAGTGATAATGACTTGGTGAAATGAATACAAATAATAAAACATAATGGGTAAAAACAGTAAATAAAATAGAGTGAAGGGCATAATTTAATTCATATATATTTTAAATACGTAACTCGCACGATAACTCTCGAAGGGAGTATCTGATTTGGTCCAAACTTGGTACACTATAATATTTTGTCAAAATTAGATCGAGTTCGGAGATGGGGATTTTCGGTCCATTCCCTCTGGTACCTCCCCACAAAATATCGAAATTTCCAAAATATATATTTTCTGCACAGAAAGAGAAACGATAATCCGATTTTGCTCTTACTTACAAATCCTAATATTTGCATCAGTTCTAGGTCAGGTGTGAAAATGGACAATATCGGTCCACTCCACCGAGAACCTCCTCCCCCAAAGGTCGAATTTTTGTATATCCATTAACCTCATAATACGCAAATGGAACATCCAATTCCATTCAGACTGGATACATGTCAATATTTCAATCAACACAAAATCTGTTGTAAAGATGGTACAGATCGGACAAGATAACACAAAGGCTCATAATTTCAATACTTTTATTTGTCATAACTTATATACAGGTCGCAACTATCGTAAGATCCTCTAAAATGTTGCATTGGATGGCTACTCGGCATTATTTCAAAAACGAACTCTTCCAAAATTGTACATAAGGGAAGTTTCAATATGTTGAAGTGCGGCAGGGTATCACATAATAGGTCCGCAGGCCTATAGCATTTGCTTGTTGTGGAGTTTTAATTTGGTATCAACGTGCTGAAAATTCACAATTTCCACTATTTCATCACATGTGTATTTAATTGACTTATTCCCGTTTATTTTTATACCCTCCACCATAGGTATTTTAAGTTTGTCATTCCGTTTGTAACACCTCGAATTAGGTCCACGTTTTAGTATAGCCCCCATATAATGGTAACTCCATATTTTCGGTAGTTTGGTGATTTAAGCGACCTTATTCACCGGAATTGTTTCAAATTTGGTATTTGAAGGTCGTAATGCCTAAGACAGAAAATTGTCTGTGCAGGTTCACGTCTTCGTATAGCCCCCATATAACGGTACCTCCCGATATTCGGTATTTTGATGATTTTAGCGACATTATTCACCGGAATAGTTTCAAATTTGGTATTTGAAGAAAATTGTCTTGCAGGTCCACATCTTCGTTTAGCCCTTATATAACGGTACCTCCCAATATTCGGTATTTTGATGTTTTTGGCGTCATTATTCACCGGAATTGTTTCAAATAACGTATTTGAAGTTCGTAATAGATACTACAACATAAAACAGAAAATGGGCCATGTAGGTCCACGTCTTCGTATAGCTCCCATAACAGGGTACCTCCCGATATTCTGTATTCTGATGATTTTAGAGACATTATTTACCGGAACTATTTCAAATTTAGTATTTAAAGTTCGTAATGGATGCTACAGCGCCTATGACAACATTGTCTGTGCAGGTCCACGTTTTATAACACCCATGGTACCATCCTATATTTCGCATTTTGATGATTTTAGCTACATTACAAACAGATTTTTTCAAGTTTCGCATTTGAATATTGCAATAGCTTGTGACAAAAGTTGCCTATGCAGGTAACGTCGTCGTATAGACCCTAATATACGGCTACATTCGGTATTTTTAAGATTTTAATAGACTTTTTAACGGATTTAATTTTTTTTTTTGAAAATTGCCAATTTTGTACCAAATGGTGGAGGGTATTCAAAGTTCGGCCAAACTTACAGCATTTTTAGTTGTTTTTTTTTTTTTTTTTTTTGATAAGCTCAATGAAAAGCAAAGCTAACTTTCTGTCTTTATTAAGAACATATCTGTGGAAATTCATCAAAATCCACCAACTAACCCTTTCAAATAACAAGACCATGTTATCGAATTCCTTTAGACCAATAAAAAAAAAAACAACACAAAAAAGCTCTTCAACATGTTGTTGTTAATGGCAAACAGCTACCAAGACAATTAGTTACAGATAAACTTAACAATGGTGGATAAACGCCAAAAACGTAAATTGTTTTATGTTGAATTACAACAACAACACACCAACAACAAAAGCAACAACGAAAAACGTCAGCCAGAACAGAAACCGAAAAAACTAACCGACAACAACCACATTTAAGACAAAAACAAACAGTAGTGCAACAGTTAACAGTTGTTGTTGTTGTTGGCGATGTTTTGTAGAAATCCCGCCGAAAAATAAGACAGCCGAAACAGAAGCTCTACTCCCAACGTTTTGTTTGTGGTGTGGTCCAATGCGTTTTACACAAAAGATCCGACCAACCGTCCGACAGACCGACCGACAAAACAAAATGTTGCCGTCAACATTATCGGGGCAACACGATCAGTGTTTTTTTTGATGTTATCTCATGGACATAATCTTTAGACAAAGATTTGAACAAGCGGTAGACTCGATGACGGGCTGGCTGGCTGACTGACTGACGAACGGAAAACGCCAAAAGCCATCATCAAACGGGCCAACCGACAAAATAAAAGCAAACACAGCAGCAACAACAACTGCATCACATGATGACGATGTTGATGAAGAGATGATGACAAGCGGCGGCAGACTCTTCTTAGCCAAAAAAGCCCAAAGACAAGAGCTTCCCAGGCTTCCCATTTTAATATTCGCCAAGCCGAAAGCCACGAACACATCTTGTCAATGGTCAAAGCATCACCACCAACTGCATCTGACACAATTTTGGCCCATGGATATGATGCTGCTCTGTTGTTGTTGTTGTTGTTGGCGCTAGCCATTTAAGGACCAATTAAATATGCTCTTCAAATAAAATCAAAATAAAAACGATCTCCAAATAACAACTTAACTTTTGTTGGCTGAGTTATTTGCCTGCGCCACAAGCTTTAACTTTTGATCTTGGTTCAATGGGCCACTTGTGAAAAATGCCGACATTGCCAGGCATCAATTCAGGGAATAGTTGAACTTTTGTTTTACAGCCGGAGTATTACTTGTAACTTATAGATTTTTTACACCGAGAGAAAATGGCATTTAAAGTTCAAAGGACCCTCGAAAATTTCTTAACAATTAAAAAGCAGTACATTCGTGCGAGTCGAACTTTGAATAACCTCCACCATTTGAAACGAATTTGGAAATTTAAAAAAAAATCAGCTACAAATTCTGTTAAAATCTTAAAAACTCCAAAAATATAGCCGTTATATTGGGTTCTATACGACGACGTGGACCTGCATAGGCACTTATGTCATAAGCCATTACAATATTCAAATACGAAACTTGAAGAAAATACGGTGAATTACGTAGCTAAAATCTCGTCAAATACCGACTATAAGGGAGTACCGTTATATCAGGGCTATACGAAGACCTGGACCTACATACACAATATTCTGTCACAGGCTGTTGTACCTATTAGGAACTTCAAATACGAAATTGCAAAAAATTTCGAAGAATATTGTACATAAAATTGTCAAAACACCGAATATAGGAAGGTACAGATATATGGGACCTATACGAAGACATGGACCTGCATATACAATTTTCTGTCATAGATTGTAGTTCTTATTACGAACTCTAAATACCAAATTTCAAACAACTCTGTGAATAATGTCACTAAAATCCTCAAAATACTGAATATTGGAAGGTACCGTTATATGGAGGCTATACGAAGACGTGGGCCTAAATATGCATTTTTTGTCATAAGCTGTAGTACCCATTAAGAATTCTAAATACGAAATTTGAAACATATCCGGTGAATAATTTCCCTAAATTCGTCAATATATCGAATATCGGGGAGTACCGTTGAATGTGGGCTATACGATATCGTGGACCTATATAGACAATACGCTTCCAGGGGGCAAAGTACTCAGAAGAACTCCTTTTGGGGATTTCAGACAATTTCATTGAAAAAATTGGATACAATCATCAAAAAACCGATTATCGGGGTACCGTTATTTGGGGGCTGTACGATATCGTGGACCGATATAGCCCATTTTCGAACTTGACCTGCCTGCAGACAAAGGACTGGTCTGTGCAAAATTTTAGCTTCCTATCTTTATTTGTTTTGACTTCAGGGTGATTAAAACAGACGGACGGACAGAAATACACTTAAAAATCCACGTTCTATGTTTGGAGGGGTTTTAAAATATATTTGACGTTAAAAGCTCAGAGGGCTTTTCACGTTCAAAGCTCCGAGAGTCCATACAAATATTCTCAAAATAAATTCCATGAAAGCACAGATGGTTTCCCACGTTAAAAGTTCTGAGAGTCTATAAAACTATTCGCAAACAAAGCCAAGCTGAAAGGTAGGGGTGTATAAAACTTAAAAAACAGCTTAAAAATTCAGAGGGTCTAACAAGTTCAAGAAAAAAAAAAGAAAAACATTAGAAGGTCAGATGGTCTATAAAATTTTTATCCACCTTAAAAGCTCTGAAGTTCTATACACAAGTTCTTGAAAAAATCTCGTTAAAAGCTCAGAGGGTTTGTAAAACTATTAAAAAAATCCACTTTAAAAGCTCTGAGGTTCTATAAAGCTACTCTTAAAACATAGCGTGAAAAGCTTTAAAGGTTCGTAAAGATATTCCTGAAAATAACGTTAAAAGCTCAGGGAGCTCGTAAATTATTCATGAACAATTTTCATTAAAAGCTCTGAAGGTCCATAAAGCTACTCTAAAAAACACGTTGAAAATCTCAGATTGTTCGTACAACTATTTATAAAAAATCCACATTAAAAGTTCTGTGGATCTATAAAGCAACTCTTAAAGAAAACACGTTTAAAGCTCGGAGAGCTATCTATAAAAAATTTCCATTAAAAAAACCCACGATAAAAGCTCAGAAGATCTTAAATAGATTCTTAAACAGCTTACATTAAAAGCTCAACGAGTTTGTAAAACTATTTAAAAAAGCTCTGAGGGTCT